CATTCCCTGACAGAGGAAACAGATTATTGCGATAAATCACTGTTAGAATACATCCATCGTAGTATTGTGGACAAGAGATAGATCGATCTAAATTGTTATTGGTGATCTTTAGGTTGTTATCATTGTTGAGACAAAAAGTCGTTTTTCACTTCAAGAACTGGACCGACTGCTTTCAACTTTTTATGAAAAAGAATCTCCTTGATCCTGTAAACACTTATGATGATTCTTTACACTTCTTTGGATCGTATTTTACGGACCATATGGCGTACTTCAAAATTATTTTGCCCCAATTGATCGTGCGTTTTAGAGCCGCTGCGCCTTATGTATTAACCAGGTAGTACTTATTGCCTACACTCAAAACCAGTACCAATACCAGTCGCGCCTTATTTATGGATAAATCCCAATACAAGCAATTTATTGCCAGTGCGCCTCATGGTCCGTGAAAAACTATGAAAGGAATCTCTACTAGAAACAATATTTTTTGACAAATCTGCAAACAGAAGCCGCCTCGATATATGACATTTTTCAAATTATATAACAAAAAATAATTAGCCCAGTTCTTATACAATTCTTCACATCTCACGCCATAGAATTGACCCATATTGCACATTGATCGTCTCACAAACACCTGAAAGGCTCTGATTTTCCGTCTTTCGAACCATTCCTGGTTTTAACGGTTTAATTCATTCTGCAACAACAACATTCAAACACATTGGTCAAATATTTGTTTTCCTAAAATAGCACAAACAGTGTAAAATGTTCTATTGAACCTGATCAAATAACGCCTTACGTTTTTAAAATAAAACCTTCCGTAACATGAGCAAGATCTTGCGTAACCCGCGTCTGACTTATCCTAATCTGTCATATTATGCGATCTACGACACGTATGAAAGAATTGATGCCTTAAAAATGGGTTTCTAACTAATATTCCCTGTACCTCGACGTAAACCTGGATGTGCGTTGACCTAAGGGAGGTTAGCAGACGATTATTCCTGCCCGCAGTCCAACACCAACCCAAGACTCATGCGAATTCATTGAAGAAGGTAGTAGATATTTTACTGCTTGTATAACGAGCAGGAAACAGTTAAAAGCTAATTTTAGACATTTATCGAGTATTCCTATTGCATCAACGTGTTGGGCGACATAGTTATTTATGGAAAAGTTATGGCTGAACATGCTTGTATTCTAAAGTAAACGATGAATGCAAAATCTTTGTTATTGTTACGTCGCCTCAAATCTAAGAAAATGTTGCAAATTCTCATTTTATCAGAGTTGCATATTTCATAGCTCATAGCTCTTTAAAATTCTCATTGACCAGATTGGTGATTATGATACTGTTATTGTTTCCCGTATTGTTGGTCCTTTTGTCTATCTGTATGCCTATACAGTAATTTGTTTTTGTGTTAGCGTTTCACAGTGTTATACGGTCGTCTTGTTTTGTCATATAATAAACTGTAATATACCTGTATAGTCGTAATTTGACATAATCCAAGACTTATCTACCTGCAGACGAAGATGGGATATTTATGCGTTTAGGGAGAATACAAGCTGAAACGAATCCTTCGATTGGCCAACACATTTTTGGTGCCCAAGGTTTCTAAGCTGATTTAGATTAATTTGGGGGTGCTGAGTCCAAAAATCATACTCGTTTTTTCTCATCAGGTCAAATTTTTGAAATATTTGCTATTTTATACCTTTTTTCCTTAAAATTAGGGGTATTTCTATATGGATTTTAGCGTTATAATTAAAAGTGTAGGTTTTTATTGTGATGTATGCCAAACGATTATGACATCACACGCCTTATAGAAGTCAAATTTTATATATATAGAAGTCAGACATGAAATAAATAGGCTGCATTGTTTTGGTTGAGTTGCAGATTTTTAGAGCAAAAATTAAGTATGGCTACATCTTCTCTTAGGTGACATTGTTCAAACAATCCAAATGTATTTTGCTATATTTGCGGAGAATATACATTGCAATCCAACAGGAAAGGGATCAGTAAATTTGTGAGGTGTGCTTATCTTGCCTACTTCAAAGTAATGCTGGGTGATCAAGATAAGGTATGGGCACCCCATATTGTATGGAAGCAATGTGTTGAACATCTTCGACAGTGGATAAAAAAGGATAGAAAGTTACTCCGCTTTGGTGTTCCAATGGTCTGGCGGGAACCGAAAAATCATTTTGATGACTGCTACTTCTGTAAACACTAAGGGAATCAATAGGAAGAACAGGAAATCGTTGGTTTATCCAAACCTCGAGTCTGCAATTAGGCCAATTCCACACTGCAATGAAATTCCTGTTCCAGTGTTTGAAGGCTTGCCCGAATTGGAATTGCCTTGCTCTGAAGAATATCAAATCTCCACTGAAAGTAGTGAGGGCACTGTTTCAGATATCTGGTTTCCTTCTTCTTCACTGCCACAGCTTTTTTCTCAAGAAGAACTTAATGATCTGACTAGAGATCTCAACCTTTCCAAAGAATCTTCTGAACTTCTAGCTTCAAGACTCAATGAAAAAAATCTACTTCAGCCGGGAACTCTCATAACATTCTATAGAAAACGCCATATTGAATTCTTGTCATATTTCACTCAGGAAAAAGACATAGTATATTGTAACAACGTTGCCGGCCTGCTGCGGCAGCTTGGTGTCCAACAGTATGATCCTCAAGATTGGCGCCTTTTTATAGACAGTTCCAAAAGAAGTTTAAAATGTGTTCTTCTTCACAATGGAAACTTATTTGGATCAGTTCCTCTAGGTCATTCAACAACCCTCAAAGAAAAATATGATGAAATCAAATTTGCACTGGAAAAAATTTCATACAGACAGCACCAATGGATCATATGTGTCGATTTGAAAATGGTTGTATTTCTCCTTGGGCTACAAGGTGGCTACACGAAATTTCCTTGCTTCTTGTGTTTGTGGGACAGCAGGGCAAGAACAGAGCATTGGATAAAAAAAGATTGGCCTGTGCGCAGTGAGTTGATTCCTGGCTTTCTCAATGTTTTGGCTCCTCCTTTGGTCGACCGTTCAAAAATTGTGTTTCCTCCTCTTCACATAAAGCTTGGCATCATGAAACAGTTTGTGAAGGCTCTCGAGGAAGATGGCGACTGTTTCAAATATATTTGCAGGAAATTTCCAGGTCTAACCACAGGAAAATTAAGAGCTGGAATTTTTGATGGACCCCAGATTCGAAAGTTAATGAATGATGTAACTTTCTGTAATTTTATGAATCCAACAGAATTGAGGGCTTGGACGGCGTTTACAAATGTAGTAAAAATTCTTTTTGGGAAAAACGAAGGCGCCCAACTACAAAGAGCTTGTTGAAACACTACTTACAAGTCTCCGTCAACTGGGTGCAAATATGAGCATCAAGTTACATTTTTTACACAGCCATCTTGCCCGTTTTCCAGAAAATCTAGGTGATGTGAGCGATGAGCAAGGGGAGCGCTTCCATCAAGATATCAGCGACATGGAAGTTCGCTATCAAGGTCGTTGGGATTCCACCATGCTTGCAGACTATTGTTGGTCTATCAAGCGCGATGATGCCAAGGCCCCTCATTCTAGAAAATCAGTAAAACGTCAATTTATAGCCGATGACATCTATTATTTAGCATTTATTACAAGTTCCAGCTTTAATTGTGAATATTTTGGTGAGATTCCATGAATATGTTCAATAAAATTACAGAAAAATGTTGTTTCTTCATTTGCCTATCTTTATTGTAGCTATCGGCATCCTGCAGAGAGGGATATATCATAGAGGGAAAACTAGACCTGATATCAGCGCCCTCAAATGTGCTAAAAACGTTTAAAACATCTTAGGCACCATGAAAAAAAAAATTTTTTGTTGGCCAGTGTTATCCATTAGAAAGTTTTTCTCGAGAACTGTAAAGTAGAGGTAAGATCGGGCCCAAAAATTCCAGCCCGACCCAGGCCCGTCGGTACTAAACCCGACCCGACCCGAGCCCGACTAATTAACTGGATTTGCAAGCCCGAGTCAGAAGCAAACCCGAAATTTTATTTAAGAGTTCTTTGAATTGTCGTTGCAAGAGTTTAGTACAGTATATACAATTTTAGTATATATTTTTTATAAACATATATTTATTTACAAAAAAAAAGGTTAGCCATAGAGAAGTCCGATCCGACCCGAACGTAATGATTGTCCGAATTTCGTGTCGGGTTCGGCTGGGGACTCAGATCTTAGCTCTACCGTGAAGCTGACTACAAGTTTATAACTCATATCGCCAGTCAGCTGTTATGAATTCGGTAATCAAAAGTGACTACCAATGAACACCTTACACGGGAAAAACCCTGCAAAAGTTGTAGAGGTTGAAACTGATGCGAATAACAAAAGTGCTTCAAAACAAAATTATGAAAGTCAAAATGCTTATTACTGTGTGAAGCGCCATGCCACCGTGTAATGAGATTGGGCATCATCCAAATCAATGATGACTTAAAAAAAATACATTATCTGAATTGTAGTAAAAGAGGCGACACTAAATCTGTGCGTCGATCAACTACATTTTTGCAGATGTTCATAATCCCAGAAATATTCTTGCACAGTCTATTCGCGATGAATGAGAATAAATAGAAAATAGGTCTGAAAATTAAGGTGTTGGAACACGATTCGTCAGGACTTCGGGAAAATCAATTGCTAAAAAGTGGTAGTATATGCGCCTAGCAGTAGTCGAAGAAGTAACCGTGATTGCGGAAACTATATTGTATTAATCCGTCTCAATAAACTGTGCAACAAATAGAAAGCAAACAAAAATTGAAAGAAAAATAAGCAAAGTTTATATTGCTATCATGAAGTCCGTGCTACCCCAGCAAGTGAAACGAGGCAGAATTAATTAGGAAATGGATTTTCGGCCCTCTCAGTGATGGCGTCAACTCTAGCTAGAACCATGCTTGTATGCGCAACTATGCTAGAACGGGTGACGTGGAATGAACGCCACCAAGCGGACATGGTAAAAGTAAAATGATAATTCCCGCAGCCAAGCCTGGAGCGGCAGGAGTTCTCTGCTCAATTGCGATTTTGCATGTCGCAGAGTAGGGGTTGGCCAGAATTATGACTCATAATATGAGGTCGATACCAATGAATAAACATTGTGACTGAACAAAAGACGCCGCCGCAGGGTATATATGGTACCGGTATTTATTTATGTATTTCGTAGGCAAGCTGAGCTACTGGCGAATCAAAAAACAAAAGACTATTCTCTGACTTCGACTTCGTCCAGATGACGTTAACTGGTTAATAAAGAGTGCTAGGTCTGTAGTGTAGGTGCGGTACGGTACCGTACGGTACCTGTCTATGGAAGATCTAGGAAATATGGATCGACAGAATTAAAATAACTTTTGAACTTCAATAGGAAATGACTAAACAATGAGTACCGGTACCGGTAACAAAATTCCAAAGCCTGAATGTTTCTTGGAAAAAATCGGTATTATTTACAAGACACAGAGACATGAAGCATCTGAATTTGAAAATGTGCAATGACAGAATGATGGTGACTGAAAACATCAGTATATATCAGTACCTATTAAGTATAAATAGTCGGTGACAATTGTTTTAATTCTTGTTAAAAGATTTCTTTTCATATGGCAGTATGGGCTATTGTAAACATAGGATCGTAATGGCTGAAAGGTGCATTGAGTTCTAAAAGTCAGAAAGTATTGAATATTTTAAGTTTTTTTCAAGTCCTTGTTTCAAAATCTTTTAGCAAAAGTAGAATGTAGGTATCCTACAATACTACAATGGGCTTTGTGCTATGGATGATTAGATTATTTATTATCGGTGTCATTTGTAGGAACATGAACATACTACTGATAACTTTTTTATAATATAAGAATTATTATCAACAACAGATAGACAAATGGTGTATTTTCATGAAGAAGTTCAGTCTGTCAGTTTGTAATGGTACAGATAGTTTAATTTTAGTGGTTCGATTGATATCTGGTCATAGCTGGGTCGAAATCACAATAGCTCTCTGATTTTCAAGCTCCAAAAATATGATCAGGAGTTGGGGCCTCTAATACTGCCTGCTCTCCAGGCCGAATCATAGTTATTGTGACTTCGCAGATCTGTAGATAGTTGATGATTTCTGTATTCATCAATGATTTTATTTTTTTCAATTTATCTTTAATGAGCAAAAATAATTATTTGTGTTCTGCCGCATTCGTTTTCCTTTATGATTGTTATTCGAATCCTGTGGGAAGTGACTGTATGGAAAAAGAGGGCTCGTCATTTTAAAAGGGTTCCACCTAATAACAGACGGCTGGTTATCGCTTGGTGTATTATCTTCATATTTAGTTTTTCTTTCAACTTCTAAAGAAACCCAAATACATGTAAAATTGCCTTTTCTCAGATTGAATACATACATTATTTATTTAATGTTCAAGTTGAAAAATGGGAGCTTTTAGAGAAAAAAAATGAGATTTTTAATATTCATATCAAATCTTATCTTTTTAAAATGTTTAGGGTTGAACTTATATGCCCTTTTTCCTAATTTTTCTTTCTAAGAATGACTGCAATTATTTTAAATTATTAATATTTCACATACCATGGTTTCCCATTTGGACATTTTTGCCAATTTTCTCTTTGAATTGTTTTAACTCAATTTCACACCACAGTAACTGTTCAACTTCATTAGTGCTTAATTGAGCATGTTATATTAAATTGATGATTTTACATATATAATATACTGTATTTCTCTGTGTATAATACGCACCCAAGTTTTAGTACATTTTTATCAAGAATTTTTCAAACTCCATGCATAATACGCATATCAAAATTCCGACCTCTCTTTCCTTGTAGGTGTTTTTTCCAGATGTTTCAGGCATTCTGTCTGCTTGCCTTTTGTTAACTATATATATCCGGTAATATGTTTTATGTATTTGCCTGTGAAACATCTGCCAATCATGATGTGATGTTATTTGACATTAAAGTATCTTGTAAAGTTATTTGTCCCTCCCCCTTTGAAAGCTGACAAGGCGCGATATCCGAACGTGTTTTCAGACACCGCACTTCAGGGAAAAGACAAAGACGTAGGTCACTCATATGTTGATTTATTACAGTGAAGTTTTGCTGATTTAGAGAAACGAGAGGAACAGACTAGACAATGACAGCAGTTAACGGATGTACAGCGTGTTTCTATCACTTTTATTTCACCATTTTTTCTGCGCCTTCATCAACACTAAATTGTTGTTGCTTCTACCGAATCAAGCATGATCTGATTCTAACAGACTTTGCCACATAAAATTAAGAATTGTGACAATTATTAGCCAGTTTAAGCATAAAACGAGAATTAATATTTTTTGATATTTTCTAGACCAATGTCTAATACGCACCCCTATATTTGTGAGACTAAATTTGACCATGAAAGTGCGTATTATACGCGGAGAAATACGGTATATATATATCAATTTGTCTTGTTGCATAGTCCACAACGATGCATTGTGGTATGTTTAGATATGCCTCAAATTATTAATGAGTGTGTCGAAGTGTTGATAAATTGTGATATATGAAAAATTGTATCGGTACCTAGTATAGTTGAAGTATAATTGTGCTGTCTAGCATATTTTAAAGTGTTGATAAATTGTGATATATGAAAAATTGTATCGGTACCTAGTATAGTTGAAGTATAATTGTGCTGTCTAGCATATTTTAATTTTCAGCAACTTTCACGACACCATACATGGACTGAAAGAGGTTTTCCAATTCATTTTGAAAATTCACTGTTTTCCAATAGAAACGATAATCCAATGTGCAGCGTTGTTTTGAAGTGGCTTAAATGTTTTTTAATAATTATTAATAGGCTTTTATTTTTTATTAACTCCACTATTTTTCATTAGAACATTGTCTGTTAATAACTAAGACACTGTCCATAATTTTGTATTCCACTTTATACCTTTCTTATGCAAATACATTGGTAATTTCCTGAAGATGCAAAAATTTTCTGCAACAATGTTTCAACGAGTTGTACGATCGATCTTTTACATGGTTGATCTCAATATAGACTTTGCCACAGCAACGTGATATACATTTTCGTGAAACTCATTTGGTGTTATCACTAATTAGCAGTTGATCTCCCATGTCTTTTGATTTTGCTATGAAAGTCTGATTACAATTTGTTTTTGCAGATTAATAAAATTGACTAACAGTTGAATTAATAAAATTGGCTCGTGATATTCAAAATGAAACTATCTCATCGATTTACTCTGGTTATTGGTCTCGGATCAATAGCCATTTTCTGTTATGGTATGGTTTTGTTTCTACCGAAGACTGAAAACATGGACTTAAAGTTAATGTTTGAACACCGACATAATGATGTGAAGCACATGGAGAAAGGATTACCTCAATTTCATGCTACTAGCACTGTCATTCGCACTCAGAAATCAAACAATCTTCAGCAACAACTGCCAGTGGATCAAATAAAAATTAATAACCTAGATGCAAATTTAAAAGATCCCGAGCAAAGGCATCGTATGGAGCAGATACTACATGATCATCAAGAGGCAATAGACAAAGCGAATGAAATATTGTCTGCCAAGGCACAAATTGAAAAAGACAAGATGTCAATGGCTGAGCAACAAGCACAGGAGAAGAGGGAAAGTATGGAAAAAAAATTGAAGGAAAGTGGTTCACACACAGTATCCCCCTACAATGTTGATCAGGGAATCCCATCAGATCCAGATATTTTGAACAAGAGAGACAAAATTCGTGAAATGATGAAGTTTGCATGGGATGGATATAAGAAATATGCATGGGGTGCAAATGAGCTCAGACCTATTTCCAACAGAGGACATTCTGCAAATATTTTTGGCAGTGCTGCTACTGGAGCAACCATTGTCGATGCTCTTGACACATTGTATATCATGGGCATGAAAGAAGAGTTCAAGGAAGCCAGAGATTGGGTTTTAAGCAGTCTCGATATGAATTCCAGGACAGATATTTCAGTTTTTGAGGTAAACATCAGGTTTGTTGGTGGTTTATTATCTGCGTATTTCCTTTCGGGGGACCCGGTTTTTAAAAATCAAGCGAAGGCTATTGCTGACAAATTACTTCCTGCATTTGATACACCAACTGGTATACCATATGCTCAGATCAATCCAATAACAGGAAGAACAAAAAATTGGGGTTGGGCTTCTGGTGGCTGCTCAATCCTTTCGGAGTTTGGCAGTTTGCATATGGAATTCTCAATGCTGACTAAGGTAACGGGTGATGATATTTATCTGAAAAAGGTAATGCGCATACGTGAAGTTCTGCAGCAAATTGACAAACCTAATGGACTTTATTTCAATTATCTGAATCCCAAGACGGGAGCTTGGGGAACAAGACATGCTTCTGTTGGCGCACTTGGTGACAGTTTTTATGAATACTTACTCAAAACCTGGCTTTTATCTGGGAAAGTTGATGAAGATGCAAGAAAAATGTATGATGCAGCAGTAACAGCTATAGAGTCAAATATGGTTAAAAAATCTGCAGGTGGTTTGACCTATTTGGGAGAATATAAGAATTCACGAGTTGAACCAAAAATGGGTCATCTTACTTGCTTTGCTGGTGGAATGTTTGCTCTTGGTGCCAAAGGCTCAAAAGATGAAAAACACTATATCGATCTGGGTGCAGAAATAACACATACTTGTCATGAATCTTATGACAAAGCCACTCTAAAATTAGGACCTGAAGGGTTTGGATTTCAGTCCGGAAATGAAGCAACTGCTATTCGAGCTAATGAAAAATACTATATTCTTCGACCTGAAGTTATAGAAAGTTACTTCGTCATGTGGAGGGTGACCAAAAATCCAAAGTATAGAGAATGGGGATGGGAGGCGGCTCAGGCTTTGGAAAAGAATTGTAGAGTTGGAAATGGATTTTCAGGGTTAAAAAATGTTTATGATGCCAAACCTGTTTATGACGATGTACAGCAGAGTTTTTTTCTTGCAGAAACTTTAAAATATTTATATTTGCTATTTTCTGATGATGATTTAATAAATTTGGATGACTGGGTTTTTAACACAGAAGCACATCCCTTCCCAGTAGTTAGGTGATGCATGTATATTATGCAGTAAATTTTTTAACTTGTACTGTAATTTGTTTTTAGAATATACTAATGTTTTAGACTTTTGTGGCCAGCTTTCATTGTGTTGAAACGAACGTCCACTTTTATTTATTATTATACCTGACAATCTGATGGATATTGTCATTGGTTCAGAGATACATCACTCTCAATAAAATTCGTTGCACTGTGAATATTGATTGGACACATACAGTAACACTTTTGTTGCTACAATAGCCACTTACCATACCAGTCCTAACCATCAGTCTGAACTGCTTCAGTGAGATCTCAGTGGCTCGAGTTTTTTTTTTATTTGTATTCATTATTAAAATTAATAGGTGCCTTTAATAGTATTTGCAGTGACTTTCCTAATGCTGTCAAACAGGGAACTATTCCCAATGAATTCTGAAATAATATTTTTAAATATGAATTCATAAATATCTATATTTTTTTTGTGTTCAATTAGAACATACACAAATCAATATACAGGGTTGTCGCTAGAAAAGCAGAAAATTTTCATTTTTTACAAAAAAAGGCATTCGTTATATATATATATATATATATATTACATTAATAGATGCTCGAAATGTCGTCCATGCACTTCAGAGCAGTGGGTTAACCTGAAGTACAAGCTCGTATAGCGCTTTGAAGGTTAACTTGTTGGATATCGTACCAAACTTGTCCATTTGTAAAAATAAATAGCTGTTTAACAAATTTTAGCATGGAATTTAGTAATGTGAGAAAATTCATTTAAACAGTAAATCATTTAGGGGTAGTATTTAACTACAGTCTTCCGGCATGAAATGAATGCCTTTCTGGCCTTACTGGTAGACTTCAATTGCTAAAAATTATTTCAAATTACTCCTGGTATTGAATATAACGAATTTCAAACATATTCAATTCGTTTTGGACATTCTTGATGTGAAATGAATATGGACAAGAAGTGGTTATTCAGAACAATACTTGGGAAAATAAGCCCTACCTTCTTTTAGTGTTGCATTCCTATTAATTTTGTTAAGAAAATACCTTAGTAACTTCTTTGTTCAGTGTCAAAGGTGCCTCAAGCATGCATTCATATTTATTTATAGTTTGATAAATATGGGTGTCATGGAAAAAATAATCATATGCTCTTGTATATATTGCAATCAAGAAAATTCTTCAATATAAAGTTTAATTTGATTGTAGAGGTAACAAATATTAATATGCTCAATATAAGTTATGTATGTAACAGTTTTCACAGTGTATTTTTTATATTCATTTTATTTTCCATCGCAAATAGATCGTCAGCTACCTCTGGATAGTTTGGTTCTTTCAGTTTCATTTTACGAACTAGGCAAGATAGAAAAAATTTATAGACAAAGAACGATAAAAATCAGTTGACGATTCTATCAAATTATTTGTCAATCCTTACCCTGCTTGTGGGCTTCCTGTGAGCTCATTTAATTGTTTTATTTAGCATTTGTAGTGCCAGGCTGATGTATTTGTGATATAGAGTAACCTTTGTTTATACTTTCTTCTTGACTTTGGTTTGCAAATTTTCCAGTCATCAGTGAAACTTTCACCACAGTGATTGGTGATGTAGTTCTTCATGCTGTTTGATGATAATGAATAACTGAACTCCTGTCATATTTTCTAAATCTTGCATCTCTATTTTTGGTGCTTTTGATTTCTAAAAACTGCAGGTTTATAGAAGCCTATGCATAATGAATTTTAGATAATTTAATATACCGTTTAATTTACTTTAGCTGGTCTTGTTGACTTTTTGTTTTATGGCTCTCTGTAACAAGTGAAGCAAATTTTTGAGTCTAATTTACTCGCCAACATTACCGGGATGGGCAGTGTAATTTTCTGGTCTCATTCTCAGCGATAGGTCAATCCTATAACCCAACGCGTTTTGCACCCTTTCGTATGCATGTAACATTTAAAATCGAATCCATGGTACAAAGAGCAAACTAACTTAGACCGTGACTGTGCTGTCAAAAAAAGTAGGTAGTTCTTGCTAGCAAGCCAACAATATTTGTTGGAGGCTGATTGAATAAAGAATTAATATGAAAAAGAAAGAAATTTTAGTGTAAACATCCATTGTCAAGCGGAATGTTCAGGGATTATGTATAATAACAATCACGAAAACCACTGGATACTGAATAGGGAGGTATGGGGAACATATGATCCACCGTGTTTTTTCGGTGATTAAAATTGAAAATAAAAGACCTCAATTCAATCTAAAAATATGTGGACTACTGCAACAGTAATTCCTAACCTTTTTCTCGCATTTGCAATCGTATTTATAATCCTCCACGCTGAATAAATATTTTTCTCCATGTTCGGTGAAATTAGCTATTTTTTGCAACTGCTCGGCGACGATTTTTTGTATAGCTATCTGCCGAGGTTTTTTCATGAAAGAAATCTGTCAATTCTAATACATATGTTGAATCTAAATAGAGGAAATTGAGTTATCGTTACACTACATGGTCATTTCTATATCGCCCTCTTTTGACGTTATAAACCAGATGACGACTCTCATATAGCATGTGATTATGTGAACAACGAGTTTAGGGAACTTCTGGAAAGCTGTGTCCCACTGCTTTTATATCCAACAATAACGTAACCAACAACCAGACACGAAAAAGGCGGTTGACAGGACTATAACAAGACAAATATATGTAGGGTTACCATATTTTTTGACTTCCAAGCGGGACGCCTCCTAAGACACGACCCCTTAGCTGTGATCCTGTAATTTTACAGTTTCCGATTTTACTACATAGGCTTATATTTAGCGCCATCCCGGCTGTCTTCATTGGCCATATTGTCGCAAGAGTTCATGCGCATATTCTCTGTCTAAATATCGGGTTCAGTTCGAAAAATAGAAAGGAATAGACGCTAACGATACAAATGATCCGAATTTAGATTTTTTTATGTACAGCAAAAGAAAGAAAGAATGATGAAATAGACCTCCGTTTTCAAGCATTGAGAATTTGGTTATTCCCTAAGAACGCTTTTCTGTAGATAACACCTTTCAAAAAGACGTTCATGTGAATGTTCGAACAGCACCAATTAGAATTAATTTTACCTGTGATACGTTCGCTAACAATGTTAGCGGGAAACAACGAAACAAACAAAATAACTCATTCACCTTCAGTGAGTAGGCTAGCGTTGCGCTACACAGCAACAACATTAACAAGAACATGTTCGTGTATTATGCTGGATGGCTGAACGCAAAAGCGGGACTTTTGACTGACTTGTCGGGACGGCGTGACAAGACGCTAAAAAGCGGGAATGTCCCGCCTGAAGCGGGACGTATGGTAAGTAGAGATGTATCGGTATCGGCAATATCGGCCAATTTTTCGGTATCGGCTGAATTTAGACCGATATTTCTGATATATTTAGCTTTTCAATATGATCCAGAATGTTTTAAAAATTAGGTTAGATTACTGATCTTGAAATTATTTTTTCTTTGATAGATCGTGGACTATAAGCCATGCACGTCCCCACCCCCACTAATAGAAACGGGAATCGTATTCTGGCCTGTTTCTAGCCAATTATCAGCCAAACTGGCTCAATCAATTTGAGTATTTTCGCTGCCAAATTTTTACATTAAAATTTTTTTAATATCACACGGCAATTATGGAAAAATATATCAATCGAATATTAGTGAATGTTCCGATGTGTAAAATATAAAATACGACGGTATATTGGTCCATAATCCTGCGCACGTAACATGATGTATCAGTTTCATACGATAAATAGGCTAAACATTTATTTATTTTACCACCAACGGTAGCCAAATCTTATTAGTTTTCTAAGTGAACACCGAGATTACTAGCGCCAGTGCTCAATGCATCTGAATCGATCAACGCATTTGGATCCCAAACATCTACTTCCTAATAAATTTATATGTGTGTGATATCTGTTTTTTTATACGGAAATAATGTGCACTATTAATAATGCTCAAAGACTATTGTTTTAAACCGTCTGTCTCGCACACTTGAGGTAATAATCACATAGTATCGGTATCGGCAATATCGATCGTTTTCGAATATCGGTGTATCGGTATCGGCGTTTTTAGCTGGTATCGGTAACGGCAACAAAAGTGGTATCGGTACATCTCTAATAAGCCCAAAGTGACTATAATACAAGTGGAGACATGAATGCAATGATGCATATCGGACGTCATTTTGGGTCCGACGAATCGCGGGAACGCGACAGCCTCTGTTTGTTTTAGCTTCGTCAGTCTGCTAATCTGGTTTCGTTCGTCAATTTGTTTGGAGTTTGTTACTGTTTTATATTTTATCCAGGTAAGTTTAGCATTTTTCTTTTGCTATTTGCCTAGTGGAACAATACTGGTATCATGCGGTTTCGTGGAAGTTGCGATGATTATCTATCTCATTTTCCCGTGTGAGTTATGCAACTTTGAAACCTCATATCTCACGAACCTTATATAATTTTGAGACAATCTAGGAGACTAATTATAATTATGAGATGAATATAAAATGTCGCGATTAACGTACAGAAATCGGCCAAATTGAAAAGCATAAAAATTTTTTGAAAAGTCTTTGAATTAAAGAATTAAATAACAAAAACTTCGATTTGTCCTTGTTTTAACCTGGACCTTGTTTCGAATGGTGTCATCAGATTAAATTTATTGTGCACCAGTAAAATTTTATAAGCAATTTTATTCAATATTCTCCAATTCTTCACATGTCGTCATTAACCTAAAGCAGGAATCTCCAACACATTTTTCAGACATAAAAAAAACTTGTGAAGCTTCAGTGAAAGCAAGCTTTGCCATAAGTGAGATGATTGCGAAATAGTCGCATTCTTTCGTTGAATGAAGCTTTATGAAAGGGTGTATGTTGGAGGCCTGTGAAATAACAGCAGCATTACTTTTGTTTCAACAATTAATGCCTTTCGCTCACGACTAACAGACGAGCGTTTGCGTGCTGTCTTAATACTAGCAAACCAACGCAAAAATAAGGCCGAACATCGAGTCTTTCATCGCTACAAAACGCTGCCAAATATCCAGCACAAGTAAATGAATATGTTTCATGTCTCGTTGCGTGGAAGATTCAAGTATAATTTCAGCAAATATATTCAGATTCCTTTTGTTACTTTTTTTGTTGCATCATTTTTGTACCTAATTTGTTGGTTTGCGGCCCGCGTCGCTGATAAATTTCCTAAAGTGGCCCGTGACGTATTTTGAGTTGAAGACCCTTGATCTAAAACAAAAAAAGCAGGTATTATTTGAACTGGTATTGTGAAACCTGTTCACACCATGCCGAACGTTCAAAGACTGCGTTTCGCATTAATCATTCTAGAAGCTGATGAAATGTCCGAATTTTCTCGGGACAATTTTCTTGATTTAACGCTCTGTTGCTCCAAAAATTATAGAACATAAACGGTCTCATGACTAGCCCATTGCGCGGCCTAATAAATTTCATCGAAGTGTACAAGTTGTACATTATAACGTACAGAATTTGAAGACCAATCGCCGCGTCTGGTGTTACAGCCCCCATCAACTTATTCGCATAATATTTCGATTCTTTTGCGTCGGAAAATTTAGCGATCTAGCGACGCCATCACGTCTTCCCTGTTCTCGTTGATAAAACTTGATTGTAATTGTATCCAACAATGAAAAATTAGCCTTGATATTTGCTGCGGAACCCTATAAAGACGCGGGGTTCAATTTTTTTGGTTTGGCCATTTAGTTACGTCGCATAATCAGATACCAAATGTATCTATCATGTCTCTTATTTTTTAGGAATTATTATCTATATTTAATCAATCGTTACCACAATTGTTACTTAACTGTTTTTCGGTCTTACACACATGGTAAAAATTTGAAAATCGATAGTTTTACCCAATATTTATGCCACCCATCCAAAAAGCAATCGTATGTTTGCGCGGAGTATAAACTATATATCGCGCCAATATTAATGCCTTTAATAATATATGTTCGATAGTTACTTTTCTGACAGATAAAGTTGACCGCTTGAAATATAATTTCCCAAATTGCCACAATGCGGCGTTTAAAATTTTGAATCGTTTACTTAATATAAGGTTAAATATTCACGAAAAAGAGGTGACAAATAAAATTATTGAAAAACAGTAAGCTAGTAAAACTGCAGCAAGAGCTCAAGTCAAGTGGATAATATATTATTTTATACACTCCATATTATTAGATGTTCTTGTAGCCTTGATATATGCTGTTATCCTTCATTCCAAGCATGTAGTATATTTTTTAATATATTTTGGCAATGTACAACGTGTTTTATCATGTACAAATAGTTGCAAGATTCTGTAGTGTAATTTGTATTGTAGTTCTGTCAGTTTTTTAAAATAAGTTCTGTGTAATTAACAAAACTTACATCAGAAATTTTCATAATAAAATGCGTGTCTCTTTGTTTAATATTTTGGTCTATTGAGTGTTGATTTATCGAGTTTAGTTGGATGACTTTAATCTTAACTTCGTATATGCTGACCGTACCGCCGAGCCGAGTTATTTAAGAAACATCTGCGGAAAATTAATTTTTCAGAATAAAGTTCATTCGTTTTGCTGCTGCGAAAGTTTGGTCCGAAGTATTGAGCATCGTTTTTTATATTCAAATGTTTAACGAACGCAGGTTTAAATCAATTAGTCAGGATCACACAGCGATAGAACTCTGGACCCCAAAATGGCGGGTGTGACGTCACACACGCGCTTCTAACGTTACCAATGCATGTCCTCACTTGCGTTATAGTCACTTTGGGTAAGCCTAAATATATATTATAACGGGGAGCCGATGATCCTCTGCGGAGGAGTACCGACGAACCATGCTAATCTCTAACTAACCGATCTAGTTGACATAAGTCAGGGTCGTTCAACCCGTGGCCCGCGGGCCACATGTGGCCCGATGAGGAGTTTCGAGTGGCCCGCGATGTATTTTCGGAATTAAATAAAAATAAAATTTGAGTAAAACTTCTATTTTTCGAGTGATGTAGTTAATATGAAGATTTGATATAAACAATTTGTAAACAAATTCATTTTCCTGATAAGCGCTCTGCCGTAAATATATATTATACTACTAGGCTCTGCTAGCCCTTTCAAACGAGCCATGAGTGCCATCACCAACTGAAAGATATCGATACATAAATAGTAGCTCACACACTTGGGCAGAATGGCAGTTTTAAAGACCTCATTATTTGGCAGCACGTACTCGTACAAGCAAGTTGTTTCCACAGATGAACCATGTCAAATCCCCTGTGAGATCACTAATTTCTGACAGTCATATGGAAAATTCGCTTCGCATTGGTACATCGACCATTTTAGCGAATATTGACAAACTT